TTTTGTCAGACAAACATTTTAAACTTTTTCAACAAGCTAAAGAATAATGTTTTTTTTTAAATTCTCGTACTATGAATTGAAGCATTTATGTTTTTGTATGCGTATATGTACATATATTATATAGATATATAGCATAAATACATACTTTAAAAATGTGGCGAGTTTCTGTTTCATTTTCCTCATGATTATATACCCCGTTATTTATACTCTATACTTACATACTCTCTTTTAAACGGACACCTCCCATAAGCGGACAAAAGTTACGGAACCGTGAGTGTCCGCTTATGGGAGCTTTCACTGTATATACATAACAAAAAAATAGGAAAATAATGGGCAAAATCCGCAAAAAGAAGGAAAGTGGATTCGAGCAGAAAATAGGATAGGTAACCCGAGCGATAGGTATTTCTGCTGGTTGGCTTCATCAGGCCCGAAATGAATGCACATATGCAACTACAAAAGTAGATACACATGCCCATACATCCGGATACGGGTGTAACCTGAGGAAACGAAGATGGAGAGGGAAAAAATCACACACGAAGTCAACAACAAGAGCCAACCTACACATTGTAGTATAAAATGGCTAAAAGACCTCGAATTTTCAAGGCGACATCTAACCACAACCACGCGGCCGGTTATAGCCACTTGCTGTGGTACTTCAAGCCCAAAGGATCTACAAAGAGATCTTCGTTTCCTCAGATTACACCCGTATCCGGATGTATGGGCATGTGTATCTACTTTTGCAGTTGCATATGTGCTTTCATTTCGGTCCTGATGAAGCCAACCAACAGAAATACGTATCGCTCGGGTTACCTATCCTATTTTCTGCTCGAATGCACTTTCCTTCTTTTAGTTTCCTATTTTTTGTGATATACCTTTCTCCGCATGATCATTTTCTCTCTCTTTCTATATATATATAGTATTATACATAGTTAATTGCCTTAACTGTTTTGAGAAAATTTCCTTGAATTTCTTTGGGTAGAAGGCAAAGTATTGCAAAAGTACACTCTTATAACTTAAACTCAAGCTTTCGAAGATCTATGTCTTCATCGTCTGGAGCTGGAAACATTTATTGACCGTAGCAACAATTAACAATTAGGAGGAAAAATAGTTACTTACTAAGTCGGCGAGATTGTTGCTGACATTGTTTTTAAACAACAGTGAAGGGAACACATAGTCGACGAATAAAAAACCGAACCGATGAGGTTCGATTAGGTGGAATTATTTTATTATTAAATGGCAAATCATAGCTGTTTTTTTATTTTTGAAAAGGTTTTTTTCTTGATTTTGGAAAAAATTTTAAAACTATCAACTATTTTAAATTCCTTCGAGATTTCCTCTTTTTTTCCGTCCTAATATATGAATAGTCTATAACAATGTTAATATTTGTTTCCAAACTTTTGTCCGCTACTGTACACCTGTTATAGTTACTTCGACGAGGCCCTCAAACAACTAAGATCGAATATCATTTGCATGCAAGTTCGTTTGATCCATGTAATTGTCTGGGCTGTCATATAGATTTTTTTCGCAAATCCTTGTGCGGTGTCAGATGAACACGGTGAAAGATTTTATCGCAAATAGTGGACATAGTATAGATTGGCGCTACAACTGAAAATAGTCATAAAGAGTGTTACTAGCTTTTTTCTGCGAGACTCATATAGAAAAAAGATTTTCAGATTTTCCAGTAAATATCAATTTTGAAAAATAGTCAGATATGTGAAATGTAATTATTAATGGGAATAATTGTAAATTGTTTGTTATGTAAAAGCTAGATTAGTCAATATTTTTTCAGTAATTTTCGCAGTAGATATGGGTCGCTAGAGCTGCACCTTTATAATTTATACCATCTATGCATTGAAAACATTCAAGCCTTATAGGAATGATTGCAGTATATACGTCACTATCTCCCAAGCTATTATCTAGAGAATGGAAAGATAAGTGAAAATAAAACCGCGTTGTTGCAGCATTGGCTTGCCTAACGAAACAATTGACTTTTTTCACGTGGAATAATTTGTCGCATGATATCAGCTAACGATTTTCTCTTTAGCTTATTAATCTCGCAACGTAATTGAATACTTCAGTGATATCATTTACATATTTGCTACCAGATGTGCTACTGTTGCTGGAAGAATAAAAGATGTACAAATTCGTTGAAAACCATTTGTGGTGGAGTCAAGTACCCCGGGTGGATTAAAAACAACACGCAAATACTAGAGCATTTATTCCTTGTAATAAATTGTATAAAAATTGTGGATATTCTTCTGTTGTTTTTTTCGTCGTCGGCATGGTGAAGTTCTTCTCCTGGAATCACGTCAGCTGTCGAACCTTAGGTGAAAAAGGACCGTAGCCCATCATAGTGCGGGTTCCATCTTAGTCGTCGATTCCGCGTTTAACCAAGGGCTTGATCCTAAATGAGTTTCGACCGTTGAAATTGATTTCGATGGCGCCTTGTGAGATATACTTGATTAGCTATGATAATTTTGACACTGTCGTGATCATTTGAATGTAGATCAATATAATCAGATATCAAAAATGTCATAGCGAATCAAGTATATCGTCACAAGGCGCCATCGAAAACAATTTCAGCGGTCGAAACTCGTATACAGGGTGGCGCATGCATGTGTGGATGGAATATTACTCATAAACAAATACATTTTGGGAAAATCTATTTATGGCATGTTATACCTAACATTTGAAGGCATATTTATAACATATTGGCAATTATACAGGGTGACCTAATTTTGACCTACATATCAAAGTTGTGATTTTTTGAATGGAATGTCTCAAATTTTATTGCATATTTGGATAAACTAATTCAAAAGAAGAATATTGATATAACATACTATGGGGTTTTGGTAATTAGCTACTGAGATGTAAGGTGTTTTGTCCAGAAAAACCGTCCACTTCGGTAACCCCTCAATCCGCCATTTTGAAATTAGGAGTGATGAATTTTGTATAAAAAAAACTTAAACACCTCAGCTTTTATCTTATTTGTTACTTTTTCGAATTTTCAGTTTTGCTCATACAGGGTGGTCAAAAACGCAAATTGTACTTTTTCTCAAAAACTTCAGATGCATCACTCTGTATATTTGTGCAAGTTTAAATTCCATTTTTTATAAGCTTTTTTTTGTATAAGGTTTGATTCAGATAAAATCAATAGATTTTAAGTTATTAAGCTTTTAATAGAACAACACACCAAAATTAGGGAAAAAAATCACATCATCCATGGAAACAAAACACAAACAGTGAGCTAGTTCTATATTGCCACTAAGAGTACAGATTTGATGTAAAAACTAATAACAATCAGAACAGTATAAATCAGCTCTAAGCGTAATAGAGAAAAACAACTATAACAATAACATAAACAAACAACTATCACTACTCAAGACCTAATGTACAATAACTGCTGGAAAATATCTCCACCATGTTGAATACAAAGCCGTTGTCTTTGGATAAATGACCATTGCACATCCCTCAGCATGTGTTCCCTTATGTTCAGAAAAGCATCCTTAATCCTTTCCTTTATATTTTCCGGGGTAGATGGTGGATATCTATAAACCTCTTGCTTAACGTAGCCCCATAGAAAAAAGTCCATCGGTGTCATATCAGGTGATCTAGGAGACCAAGACATAGGCCCATCACGACCGATCCAACGATTGTTACTCCAGGTGTCCAAATAGTTACGCACACGATTGTGATAATGCGTAGGTGCGCCGTCATGTTGGAAGTACATGTGCATCCAAGTTCCACTTTATTTAGCATTATTCTACTAAACTCCATTCGAGCTGATATATCCTGAGGACGACAAAAAAATTACTGTCGCTAAAATTGTAGGAAAAAATATATATTTCCTGGCTGATACATAGATGAATGCGAGTATGTGAGCTGCGATCGCATTTTTTAAGGCGTCCTATATTTCACAAGAATAGCCTAACACACACGCACTTAGCTCTAGATGTGAAGTGTTGGGAGCAAAGAGGTGATCAGACAGGCACCGTTGTTGATGCATCAGCAAAAGCTTATAGACTGCGAATAGTTGGATCACTTGCCTTCCTTATTCGAAATTCTTAAGCGAAACCGATAGACTTCCCAGAAATCAGAATTTTTTAGTGGTGGTTTTAGAGGTTGGTTCCGCCGATTGGGTCCCGCTCTCTTTTACTTCCCACGCCAATTGGAGAGGAACTATTGTAATCGCGAAAAATGTCGAAAATAAAATGACCTTTTTTTGTTATCTGACACATGCATCACAAAAAGGGCCAAGGACGAAAAAGCTCTGTCTTTTTTTTTAATCGATCCAGTGGCGGCTGAGCTGGGGCAATAGGTGAAAAAAAACCTCGTTTTTAACGTTTCAGAGACACTCCAGATCATTTTCAGATACATTTTTGTAGTAGTTAAAAATTGAGGCTTGGGGTTATAAAGAATGGGAGAGGGTACATCTTAATTTATGGCGCTAGATATTTATACGCTTTTGACACCAGTAATTTTACGCACCTATTAAGTATATCTCCCCGTAGATCTGACCCCAACGCAACGAACATATGGCTCATCTTGAGTCATTTTTTATGTCAAACAAATACTCATGGTAGTCACAAGTGTATGGCGATCGAGCACTTGCTGAACAATACCTATCAGAAGTACATAGGAACAAAAAGGTACTTCCAGATTTTTCAACGTCTTAGACATTTTATAATACGCATGTAAAATATACAGGACTTGGAATTTACTTACAGATCATTTTAAGCACGTAAAGGTATCAGGATTGTTCAAACGTACAACTTTTATTTTTTTATAAAAGTTACGATGGTGGAACGGTAAATAGTCACGGCAAGCGTTACCACTAATATGGACTTTTCCTAGCCCCAATTAGAATATATGCAATTTAAAAATATGTTTTTACGACAATATAGGGCCATATACGAAGGAATGATGTCTTTTAAGTTTTACATATGGACATAAAACGGTAGGTAGTTTTAAATGACTTTATTGTTTTTCGAAGTATTCTCCACGAAGATTAATACACATCTGCATGCGCTCGAAACAATTTTCGAAGCACTTATTCCACTCGTTTGCTGGCAGATCCAAAACGGCATTTTTGAATGCGTCAACTGCTTCTTCTGGTGACTGGAACCTTTGACCACGCAGTCTGTTTTTAATTTTCGGGAAAGTAAAGAAATCGTTAGGACTTAGATCGGGACTATATGGAGGATGGTCCAATAATTCCACGATTTCTTCCGTTAAATACTGCCTTGTTTTGTTTTCTGGGCTGTGTGCGAGCTTGCATTGTCTTGGTGGACGATGATTCTTCCTTCGGGGTTGATTTTTCGAAGCTCCGTGATGACTTTTGGCAAACAAATGGTGGTATACCAATCCGCAGTAACAGTTCTTTGCTCACTAAGAGGAATTGTTGCAATATGACCCGCTTTTGACACAAATGTCGCGACCATCTTTTTCGAAACACTTCAAGAACGGATGACTAGTTGGCTTTTCTTCACCTTGGAACACCCAAACAGCCGACTGTCGTTTATTTTCTGGCTCGCTCATAACAGTCTTGATATAATTTTTTTTGAATTGAGGTCTTTGAGATCTTCAAGGACGCCTCAATCTCGCGATATGTCACATGTCTATCTTCAATGATGAGTTTGCGCACAGCATCGACGTTTTCCTGGGTGACTGCCGTTTTTGGTGCACCCAACGGGAAATTGTCGACTGATGTGGCGCTTCGTTGCCGAAAACAGACAGTAGTAATTCAGCAAGGCATTCTTGTTGCGATAATTGTCTCTGAAAGATGTAATAAATTATAGCGCGACAATGTTCTCGGTTGAGTTCCATTTTTCTAATGACTTGATGTCACTTGAAAATTCACTGTAGTGAGAACACTGCACGTATTGTTGTGAAACTTTGAATTTAAGTTTACTAAAGAGTGAGGTTAAGATTCAGTACTGACGTTAGATCCGCGCGGCCTACTATGTTTCTATAATATGCAATTGAAAAATATGTTTTTTGAACAATATAGGGCCATATATCATGCAGCAAAAGAAAGTCTATTCAAACAGTCCTCGATGATCATGGGTATGAAGCAAAACATTGCACCCACTTTTTAAACATATTCCAATTTTGCTTTTTCGCTTTAGACACTTTTTTTTGTTATTCTGAACAAAAAATGTTCGTTTGAGCTGTTAATAGATTTCGAGATATAGGCGATTTAATATGTGAATAAGGGCAAAATATGTAATCTTCGATCAGGAAAAACAATATGAAAAATGACTTCAAGTAACTAAGTTGGCTCTGTACTTTCCACGCTACGCTCTCATCAGTTCGTAAATGTTTGGCACAAGTTAGCCCTTCTGAGAAAAAAGTTAGCTACGAACCTAAAACAAAAAATTATATGACCTTCCTACTCCCCCTGAGAGAACAAGATCGTGGCGATGGCCACTCCTGCGTCAGTGACGATACACACAGTCCGCAGCAGTACGGAAGCGATCGCCGACTTTGACGAACGACCACCGACGACGCCGCTTGTCCATCGGGGGACGACGTAAATGTAAGGCAAAAAATTATAGATATTTTTTGTTTTTGATCTTTCTCTCCACTGCCAATGGTCCGACTTCAAAAAGCTACAAAGCTGTGGCCTATACAGTATTAACATTGTGGAAAAATTCTATCGAAAACCGAGCGGCACCACTCAAGTCGGCTATAAGATTAGCGGACAGACAGAAAGACCGACGGAAATAAGTGACATGGTTTTTCGTGACGTACATGCCATATCATATAACATCCAAAAAACAATATCTCATTTTCGACAATTTTGACGATTACAATACTTCCCCATCAACGAAAATTTCAATGTTAGGTAAATTCCTAAATATTCTTCAAACATTCATTAATCTTTTAAGAGATTTAAAAACTTTAGCTACATTGATTTTTTTTTTCGAAATATGCACGTTTTGCACTTTATCACATATTTTCTCGCATATCTCGAAAACTTTTTGTTCAGAATAACTCGAAAGAACCTAAAGAAATAATTGTTTTAACAATTTTGGACGCAATTTCCGGCCTTTCAACATGCAGATTTGTTAAGAGGAGTCGCTTTTAAGTACGATTACGCTAAAAAACTTAACTTAACTTAAATTTTATTTTCTGAATAGATGCGGAGATATACTAAGTGACATATAAATCCGAACACCCAGTTTAAATGGTTTTATTTTAATAAAATTTTGTATAAGTACTTAATGAAGCATAATAAGTAAATGATAAAAATTTCAAAATGATTGCACTGCTTTAAAGCCCTTTGACCTTTAATAATGTGTGGATGCACCCTGATGTGCTACGCATTCTCCAACGCGCCTAGGCATGCTTCTGATCAGGTGGTCAATGTCCTCCTGTGGTATCTCATTCCAGGCAACCACCAACTCCTCTCGAAGTGCTTCTAGAGTCTGAGGAGGACGTTGCAATCTCCTACCCATCATATCCCACACGTGCTCAATTGGGGATCAGTCGGGAGATCTTGGTGGCCATGTTAACAATGTGACATCATTATGTTGAAAGAAGTCTATTGTGACTCTTGCAACATGTGGTCGGGCATTATCTTGTTGGAAAGTTGATCTGCCAGGGTGTCAAGATAGGGTAAAAGATGGGGTTCTAGAACTTCGTGGATATAACGCTGCGCGTTCATGTTACCTCTGATGAAGATTAAAGGTGACCTGGAACCATAAGCTATAGCACCCCAAACCATAACTCCAACAGTGTGATGAACATGTCTTTCAACAAAAAACTGTGGATTCCTCCTTTCACCACGTCGCCTTCTAACCCTGGCACGACCATCGTGGATGCCTAAACAAAATCGAGACTCGTCACTAAAGACAATACTGTTCCATTCCTGATCCCAGAGTGACCGTTGTCTGCACCACTCAAGGCGATTACGTCGGTGTTCTCGAGTTAAAGGCAGGACCCAGTGTGGCCGGTAAACACTTCGCATGCCAATAGGTCTTCCGTGTTCTGCAAACCATTCGTTTGCAATGGACCTGGTAGTGGAGAAACGGTCTCTTAAGGCCAATAATCTTAGGCGGCGATCTTCACGGTCTGTTGTTCTACGGCGGCGTCCAGTGCCCCTTGCTCTTTGCGTACGGCCTTCTCGAAGCCATGCCTGACAACACCTAACCACAGTGTCTACACTTCTTTGCACTCTAACTGCAATTGCCCGAAAAGAAAGTCCAGCTTCCCGAAGTCCCACTATACGGCCCCTATCAAACTCACTAAGTTGACGAAATCGTACAGGTCTCCGTACTCTAGGCATCGTAACCGATCGTAAAGGAGTCAAGAACCAAAATCCGCCAACGTTGATTCTTTACTGCGGCTGAAATATTCATTTTTAGAGCTTTAGTGAATTAAAAAAAAAGCAGTATAAAAACCGGAATGTCCAACTGATAAGGCTGAAAATTTTTTCACTTGTTATTTACAGTAAGATAAATACATTTACCAACTTTTATTAAAATAAAACCATTTAAACTGGGTGTTCGGATTTATATATCACTTAGTATACTTCCTGAAACTATTAAATTATTGGTAAAATTGGAATCCAGTTTTGCCAAAATTTTGTCCGAGAATAAAAAAGCTGAGGTGGCATTTTTAGAATTATTATTCATAAAACCATAACTCGCATACTTCTACATTCTAATTTACACGATATTTTTCCAAAATTCCTGGTTTTGTTTAGAAACAAATTTCCATAGTAGCCTTTAGCCTGACTGCTGGGTACTACTATTCCGTATTCCGTATACTTTGCATCAGCTATGCGCTGGCGGCAAGTCGGCACCGGTGATACATAGTCTCTGGCGCCAGCAGTCACCTCATTCTGCTCCGATGCGATTTTTACGCCATATGCATCACGTCAAACCGAATACCTAATCTCGTCTAAGCTGGCATCAAAAAGATCATATTTTGATCAGTACAGGATGCTTGGGCTGGACACTAGGCCATTTGGCGCCTGAGTAGGTTTTGGTAACCATCAAGTAGTAACGGCGTTGCATAGTACTTATCAGTTAGTAAAAATGTTTCGGTGGTGGTGATTGTGTTCTTTTACACGGTAATTAATTATTGTAACAGTAACGCAGAAAATATTTGGTTCAGAAAAAATATTTGAAATCGGTCAGATTTTTCATGAAAGTTTGTCTGCAATTCTGGTTGAATAGTTAGTAACTTGCCAGTTACCAATGCATGCCAGTGTCTCTAGGCCGGTACAGTGGTTTGTATACCCTCTTGACAATATATTGTCAGACGCAATCTGACACTCGTGATCTCCTTCATTTCTACAACCAAGAAATAACTGTGTGCTGCCTAAACGCCGTGTATGTTCTGTCAGTGTCGTGTGTCTGACTTTAATCTAACATTTGCTTCAGAGATGACATTGGCGGATATTATTCATAGCTTCTATGGCCTAAGTTGTAAATTCTGTACTAGCAATTCCTCCATAGATGCTGTTCTCGGCAAGTAGGCGTGGCATAGTCATCCGACTAGTTTATACTTATTGCGAATTGTGGCAATCAGATGGTTATCATAGCGATTTAGAAAAAACGAAAATGGTACACACATATAGTAGCAATAATGAACTTGTCGATCTCATATCAGTTGACGGAACCTTGGAAACGGTACTGAAGCTTCGGAAATGTATTCAGATCGTTTTCCTAAATGTTTCCACCCCGCGCGTTGTACAAAGAGTTAGAGGTACATGGCTTTTGCAAAGCCATCCCAAACGTTGCAAATGTCCGGCACAAAATTTTATTTTTGTACTTTAATGGCTACCACTTCAAACAGTATTTATAAGCATCGTGTGACAGGGTTGAAATTTCTCATCAAATTTACTGTGAGTATTTTCTTTAATAATTCATGTTACTTGTTTCTTAGCTGTGCTATATCAAGCCTACTTGTTTCTGGAAACAGAAGTTCAAACCGTCAGAATTCCCTATAGATAGTATGTATCCAAGAATGGTGCTTTTTGGACTGTCTCCATTTGGTGTATTGCAATAATGACCGATTCATAGTTCTGAAAACAATTTTTCATAGACACATTCTTGAACATTTAAACTCGATGCTTAAACAGTCTAACCTTCCGATGCGCGTGCCGATGCCGTGGCTTGTGTACATAACAAGGCAGATTTAAACGTACGCTGTCTGCTTTGCTCGGTATAGCCGTTAAACGGACTTCAAGGTTTCCACAAAAATGTGGCGCGATAACGTCTCACCACACACAATACCACATATTTTATTATATCGCCGCCGATGTAATTATACTCTCACTATCTATAAATAACCTTAATTGCTTTTTGAAATTTTTCGTCGAACAACGAGATTCTCGGCTTGACATTTTTTTTTAAATAGAGAACGTTACGAACTGGGTATCCGCCGGGAGCGAAGTGCATAGTGGGAAATATCATCTGCTAGACTAGCGGTTTTCAAAGTGGAGGG